TATATATATATATACATACTTAATTTAATAATAATATTAAAGAACAACAATATTATTATCGTATATGAAAGCATTTTGTTGTGGGATGTGAATATGTGATTCTACCATTTTTAAAAAAAAACATAGAATTTATGCTATAAATGCATAAATCTGTAGTTTATTTTGAGAAATGTATGATTTTTTGTACGATTTATTCGCAAAAGAATTAGTTCCAGTATTAGTAGATATGCGATAAGTATTAATGACGAAAGATCTTTGCGTATTTTTGTATGACTTTCGAATCAAGAATTATATAATTTTACGTTGATTTTTCATTTGTACAAAAAAGAGTCGATATAAAAGTCAATAGTCTCGAGAATTCTTATCAGAACATTTTACTTATTTAAATAATTCATATAATGTTTTTAATCGAGACCGAATTTCAACGATACGTCTATGTGTACTTGTTCTATCTATAAAAAAATTTGTTTTTTTTTCACGTGATTTTAAATATAGTTAAAATTTGTAATAAAAGCCTTAATATCATCTGTCTATGATTAATTATCACCGATATAAAAAGGAGACAAAATTCAGTGAAATCGTTATGCATATGGGATTTGTCTTCTTGACTGGTTAAATTGCAAATGATGTTACTACGTTGCTAAGGCTATTTGGAAATCAATATTTTTCTTGCATTAAATTTATTGCTTATGCAAGAACTGAGAATAATATTTCAGAAATAATATCCTCTAATCCTGAATGCTATTTTATAATTACATAAAATATACATGAATCCGGTCAATTTTATATAAAATTTTTATCTTGTGATAAATTTATTGCATAATATAGCTATAATATATATTGTATATATTATTGTGCATCTAAATGTACGTGTAACAATAATCATGATGAAAATGTCAATAATTGTAATCACAAACGCGCTAATAATATTATAATAATTAATATTATAATAACATAAAATTGCAAATTATTATTTGCAAATATTTTTTAAACGAAAACCGCTTAGATAATTCACAAAGAACTGGAAAATAAAAAAAGCATCACATTTATTTAAAAACAAAGAAAAAGAGATAACTCTCTGTTAATTATTTTCTCTTTTACATTTCTTCAAGAATTCTTTTCATACACATTTACAGTTTCCTTCTAATATGGAATAAATCATAAAAATCACTTTTTCTGGATTGTTCCTACAAAAAATTCCCATCACATAAATGGAGTAGAAATCCCGTATGAATAATGATAAAATGTTCACTTAAACTACCAATCATTTTCCAATAGAATAGCAAGGAATATCCCGGGATTCGAAAATGTGTAAACGCTTCGTCGAAATATAAGCGGACCTTGATAGTCGATTCCATGCGCGACATTCGCGGCAAAACTTTTGTCACATCACCAGTTTTTCTCGTTCTGATAATCGTTGGTGTTGTAATAATTATTTAACGTTAAAATTACAATAGAATTTGTAATATAGAAGTGTGCTGTCTCCAAAATGCGATGTTTTTCGGAATTAACATTAATCTCACAGAAAAAAATAATTGTAAGATATCCTAAACGGAAAGGCGACGAGCGTGATGAGAGAGAAAGAGAGGAAGAGGATCAATTATTGTCCGACGTAAAATCCACGCGTGTATCGTATATAAGATGTTGTCTTCGTGAGAGAGCTTCAGTCGCTCTTGACTCTTCGACCATCGAGATATCGGTGAAACAGACAAAACAAGAAGAAATATCGTGCGTGATAGGCAAATAATCGGTTTATTGCGAAAGTGAAAATCGTCATGAGATTGCTCGAGTGTTTGGTGCCCGTGGTGGTGCTTCTATTGATTAAAAATTCCTCCGCAAGACCAGGTGAGTTTTCGATTAAAAAGAAATCTCTTTTCCTTTTGTTTGGCAATAAACTTGAGCGTTCGATTATTGCCAGGCTTCTTTCCAAATATTTGTATAATACGATGATAACTTAATATTTAGGTCAGAATAGTTTTTATTTATATGAACTTATAAATGTCAAGTTAACTGTCGGTTTTTCGTATGAATTTAAATATGTTTAAATTTTTCTATTAAATTCTTTAATACATTTATCGAAAAATTTATAAATACATGAAATTATGGAGCAACTTAAGACAATTTTTAGTATAAATTTAAATATTTCTAAGCTCTCTCTTTTATTAAACAATTTTTTATTAAACACGTTTATCGAAGAATTTATAAATAAAAGAAATTATGGAGCAACTTGAAACAATTTCTATGTCATTATCGTTCAATATATGTTCGAAAACCTTATAATATTTTATTCCTTGTGCAAAGGTGTATTACGCGATTTGGTCGGCGGCAATGTTGGTAGTTTGCTGGACCCGTTAGGAATTTTCAAGCCTAAGAGTACAAGCAGCCAAGCTAACGCCCAAGCTAACTCCCAATCGGTAGGAGGAGGTTTAAATCTCGGTCCGATCGGAATCGGAGGTGGATTTTCCTCGTCTTCAGCCTCGTCGTCGGCGTCGGCGAACGGAGGTGGTTCGGCTTCAGCGAAAGCGGATGCTCAATCTCAAGGATACGGAGGATACGGCGATTCCAACGCGCAAGCGTCCGCTAACGCTAATGCACAAGGTAGGTTCCATATCGTTATAATAATTATTTTATTATTTTATACTTTAAAATAATATTTTTTTATTATATTAATTTTTTCAGCTATTTAAATTTTTATTTTTATCATTATTGTTTTATCATTAATATGTTAATAAGCGATACGCTTTTAACGTAGGTGGTTATGGCGGTTCTTCGGGAACCCTGGGGGGTTATGGTGATAATGGCGTGAATAACGGTTATCACCGTCCCGGTGTCAGTCAGGTTCCTTATCAAGTCAGTCAACCGAATTACGGAAGTCACGGTGGCTCTCAGTCTAATGCTAACGCTAACGCTAATGCGAACGCCAACACCATTGGCAATGGTGGCAGTGGCGGAGCTTTTCCGGGCAGCTCTTATTATCCAGTACCTTCTGGACCTAAGGTCATCGACAATGCTAATGCTAATGCGAACGCGAATGCGGCTGCAAACGCCGCGGGTGGCGGTGGAATAAATGTGGTCCCAGGCAAATATCCTGGCGGAAGAGTAGATCAGATAGAAGTAATTCCGGTAAACACGTTACCGATCTCTCAACCAACTCCTTCAGTATATCCAACGCCCCAACAGCCTTCCTATCGACCAATTTCTCAGGGAGTCGGTAAAGGAGACGCTGTGATACCAATTGTTATCGTCGAAGATTCACCATCAGCGCAATATCCGCCGTATCATCATCGTCCAGGTCATCATTATCACCATCGTCGGCCGCATTACGGAGGTAAACCGAAGCAACAGCCCGTCGAGATCATCATTATCGAGGAGCCAGCACCTAACCAAGGTGATACTTCATGATCGAAAATTATCACGTGATCATCGACTCGCTGGGATTATGCACTAATGGGTGGCAGCATTGCAAATTTTCTGCATTGTCTTTTATGTAATTCTTCCTGATGACGAAGAGGCTCATAATTATATCTAATTGACTCGTTGTTGATCTTTATGTATATCTTATTTGTGTACAAACGACGCTGGATGACAACTAAGACTTTGGATCACAATGGACCAGGATTTCCGGATGCTCTATTCCTCTGCATAGCTTTTTATGAGATTAACGTGTTTAATCGTTCTATGTATTTTTCTTTTCGTTGAAATGTCTTGCACAAGTTTTATATTGGACAAGAATCGCATTCAAGAATATGTAAATCAGCAGATATTTCTTGCATTTATATCGTAATCTAATCAAAGATTGTGAAAATTTTATTTTATGTTTCGTGAGATTTTTTAACAGTATATTGCAACGTCCACAAATAAGGACCTTATTAATAATGCTTTTAATATTTTTTTTTTATAACTCGTATCTGAATAAAAAAGATACAAACGAAGAATCTGACATTATACGTGACTGAGACTGAGAGCATAAATTACGTGACTTTCGTGCCACACATGCTAATTATATTTAATAACTATTGTTTATAATAGTATAATAATTATATATAATAATAATAATTATATATAATTATGAAACAGAAAAAAAAATTAAAATTTAATTAATCTTTTTTCTTACAGCTAATGGTTACGGAAATGGTGGTATTCAAGGAACATATCCTGGACAACAAGGATCTTATGGTGGCAATCCCTTCTTATCAGGCGGCTCGGGATCAAATGCCAATGCTAATGCTAATGCTAACGCTAACGCCAACGCTCAAGCAGGTGCAGGCAGTAGCGGCGGTAGCGGCGGTATCTTAGGAGGACATGGAAATTACGGAGGACAACAAGGTAGCAATTATCCAGCAGTTCCATCAAGTCCAGTCGGCGGAAACAATCCGTTTTTAAACGGTGGATATTCCGGTGCCGGTAGTGATGCCACTGCCAACGCTCAATCCAATGCAAACGCTGGAGCCAGTACTACCGGACATCAATCGATAGGTGCAAATAATCCGTTCCTCAGTGGCGGCGCATCCCATGGTAACGCGGGAGGAGCAGGAGGAGTAAAATATCAACCAGGTGGTTCAGATGGTATTGTTTTGGGCGAGAAGCCCAAGGGCATCCCTACAACATATCCCGGACAATTTTCTGGATCAGGACTTTCGGGCTCGCACGGATCAGCAGGAGCTAACGCTGGTGCTAATGCCAATGCCGGTACTATTGGAGGAGGACCAGTCAAAAGCAGTCCGATATCTGGATCAGGCGGATACGGCGGTTCTTCCGGATCAACCGGTCTTGGTGGTTACGAAGGTCAAGGATCAGGTGGTCCGAGCTTTGGTGGATTCGGAGGACAAGCTGGAGGTTCATCCGGTGCCAATGCTAATGCCAACGCTGGAGCTACTAGCGGAAGTAGCGGAACCGTCCTCGGAGGATCCGGCGGCCATGGAAGTAGCGGAACCGTTCTCGGAGGATCTGGAAGTAACGGAGGATTCGGTAGCAGCGGTGGATATGGACAAGACGGCTCTTCTGGGTCAAACCTTGGAGGATATGGTTCATCTGGTGCCAATTCTAATGCCAACGCTGGAACTAGTAGCGGAAGTAGCGGAACCGTTCTCGGAGGATCTGGAAGTAACGGAGGATTCGGTAGCAGCGGTGGATATGGACAAGGCGGTTCTTCCGGATCAAACCTTGGTGGATATGGCACAGGTTCTTCTGGTGCAAATGCTAATGCTGGTGCCGCTGGCGGAAGTAACGGAATTGTTCTCGGAGGATCTGGAAGTAACGGAGGATTCGGTAGCAGCGGTGGATATGGACAAGACGGCTCTTCTGGATCAAATCTTGGAGGATATGGTTCATCTGGTGCCAATTCTAATGCCAACGCTGGAACTAGTAGCGGAAGTAGCGGAACCGTTCTCGGAGGATCCGGCGGTCATGGAAGTAGCGGAACCGTTCTTGGAGGATCCGGTAGTCAGGGAACTGTTCTCGGAGGATTTGGTAGCAGCGGTGGATATGGACAAGACGGCTCTTCTGGGTCAAACCTTGGAGGATATGGTTCATCTGGTGCCAATTCTAATGCCAACGCTGGAGCTACTAGCGGAAGTAGCGGAACCGTCCTCGGAGGATCCGGCGGCCATGGAAGTAGCGGAACCGTTCTCGGAGGATCTGGAAGTAACGGAGGATTCGGTAGCAGCGGTGGATATGGTCAAGGCGGCTCTTCCGGATCAAACCTTGGTGGATATGGCACAGGTTCTTCTGGTGCTAATGCTAATGCTAATGCTAATGCTAATGCTAATGCTGGAGCCGCTGGCGGAAGTAACGGAATTGTTCTCGGAGGATCTGGCGGTCACGGAAATGTCCCCGGAGGATCTGGAGGTCATGGAGGATTCGGTAGTCAAGGCAGCGGTGGATATGGACAAGGCAGTTCTTCTGGATCGAACCTCGGTGGATATGGCGGAGGCTCTTCTGGTGCTAATGCTAATGCAAACGCTAATGCCAATGCTGGAAGTTCAAGTAATGTTCTTAGTGGATACGGAGATGGTGTTAAAGGATCAGGCTCTGGACATGGTGGAGGATTCGGTGGATTCGGCGGATCAGCCGGAGGAGGTATTTTATATTTTATATATAAATCTGTATTGCGTATTGCGTAATCCATGATAAACAGTCATTTTCAAAATTTGTGCATGCAAATTAAAACTTCAATAGTTAAAGGCATAAGCATGTAATTTTTTAAATTGACAGCTAAATAGTTATTATTTCATTAGAATTAGAAACAATTTTTTTTTTTAAGTTATTATTACATTATGTAACGCCTTGTTAACATTGTCAGTCGCATAACATCTTATTATGTGTAAATATTCATCATTTAAATGACCATCGATCAAACAATGCGCCTCTTCTTAAAATTTCCAGCGCATGTTTTATCCCGCGTATTATACAAGAGATGAAAAATTATCTTAAGCCATGTATTATTATCGATTAACGACTGAGCTCTCAAAAACCAGTCGTTCAACGTCACTACAAATCAGCCTCTAAGTTGCACGTTGCCGAATCATCACAGATATCACGTCATCGTGTGTATTTCCAGCAATTTCGTCGACATTCATCGATCATGCATGACTTTAAGCATTGTGATACAACGACCATTGGATACGAAAAAATTCACTCAACACGGTGAAGGACCCGTTCTGAAGTTTTTTTAATCATCTGTATTTGTGTCTTCATGTCCATTATCAGTCGTAATAGAGCTTTTCGTGTTCGCTTTTCCACAGGCCTAAGCCCCGAGGCCGAAGCGTCAGCGTCGTCCATGGCGGAGGCTTTGGCATCAGGACTGATCGTAATTAAATGATTCGCTATTCCATCCCGCAGGCTCAAACGCCAACGCTCAAGCGTCTTCTAATGCAATTGCGTCCGGAAGTGGCTCGTCCAAAGCTATCTCCGACGCTGTGTCCAACGCGCATACCAACGGCGGATCGGCATCGGCGACCAGCTCCAGCAAATCGTCAGCCTTCACAAATGGATCAGGATCTGCGAATGCCGACGCACACGCGTCCAGTGATGCATCTTCTGGAACTTATGGTGAAATAGGATCAAAGAGTTCAGCCTCAAGCCATGCGTCATCCTCGGCCGACACCAGACATATGTTGATCTTCAGTTAAACATTGTGATACAACGAAACATACAGACGAGGATCTCCTTAACTGCAAGAGCGACATAATACTCGTTATTCATGTTTTGATACTTCACGAGTAAACGTAACCGATGCGAATATGACGCAGTTATTACTTAGTTTTATGACGGAATGTTATATAAAATTAGAAACGTATATACCATGACATTATCTAATAATATGTTCAAATTTATAATCATGAGTTATAAATTTGTACGCATCTTTAAGAATCATGATCGTCAATTGAAGCTGTTCTCGAAATTGGAATTAATTTGATTTTGAGAATAGACATTTTCATTTGCATACATTCTTGAGCATTTATTAGAGATTGTATAAGAGTAAGTAGATAATCGAGATGGTTTTAAAATTTCTAGTATATTTAGAGCACTTAAAAAACCTTAACTTAATACTTGTATTTATATTTGTCCCACGAAATACACTAGAGACAGATCAAACATTGTTTTGCTCAATATGAGGAAATATTTGACTAAAATTAAAAAATTGCGATGTTAGAATTTAAGATAAACAATCCTTTGAATACAAGTGAAAAGAAATAATCTATAAACGAAACTGATGTTTAAATTAGTTAATCGAGGATGACGTATCTGTCTCAGATCAAATCACTTTTATACTAAGCATTTATAAGGTTTTAACTGAATACTCTCTTTTTACTTATAAGTATACTTAAATTATATAGCTGCGTTTAGATCGCCTTCTTTTAACTTTGGACCTGTGATTCATATGAAACGTGCCAAAATGCTGAAATATTATAATAATTATAAGAATATAAGAAACAATATATAATGTACTCAAATGTTGTCCGTGAAATTCAAATCCTGGTTAAAATAATTATTGTTTTATCTTTTATTTCTTGCTCTTTGCTTTATGCAATACGTTCGTATAAAAAGAAATCGTATTGATTATTCTTCAGATTTCGAAAAATAAATGCGGTTTCAATTGTACAATTCATAAAGAATAATTGCTGAATAAGATCTTCGAGAGAGATCAAATTAAATATATTTGCATCTTTCTGCATTTTCTTTCGAAATCATAGATTAACAGCATACTTTGTATTCTATGTCGTACAGTTTTATTAGTAATTTATCCAAAAGCACTAATACTTTAAATCAACAAATCACTTACTAAATAATCCTTGTTATTTTTTTCATTTTTTAATATTGTTTTGTGATAAAGACGTGATTGTAACATATATTTTTTTTTAAATTTGATAACAATATTAAAAATTGTTGAGGTAGATTTTTTATGCCTTTCCTCAACGTCACATAATGTTTAGTTAATATTTATTTGTAGTACTGTTTTTTATAAAAACGTAATTTCTATCTTTAAATTGTAATTCTTTGCTTGTCTTTAGCAGGCAAAGAGAAAAGAGAAGAGAGATTTCTAGATATTTCTTTAATTTGGCGCAAGATAAATTGTTTGTGTAACTTGAAGTATACTTTCTGCGTGACAAAAACTCTCGCGCATTTATCAGCAGACACGACAATGGCAATATATTTATATTTTGTCATATCATATCGTATGGTACAATTTAAATCAGCTTTTGTCATATTGCTTAAATTTTTTTTACAAGGCAAATCTATATCCAAACAATGTAACAAATGTGTAAATATAAGAAATAAAAAGGCCTATAATTTATGTCTACTATTATAAATATGTGTTAATAAAAAATCCAATAAATAGAAATATTAATTTTGTAGACATAATCAAAGTAACAATACCATCGACAATATTTTTCTTTGTCTTTATTCTCACGATGGCAAGCGTCTCTCGGAAACAACGGGGATAAGAACTCGTTCGACTTGTTTCGCGCGTGTGTATACGAGGAAAACGGAAGAGAGAATCGCAAAAATGCTGGAGAAAGAGAGAGAAAAATGAAAAGAGAGAAGATGCTCAAAGAGAATCGATTCTGACGTCTGTTTGTCCGATCCCGCCACAACTCTTATGAAATTTTTGCAATTAATACGTAATTATTGATAATCGGTTTCACACTGCATGCGTCTCATTTATTCCATGATTTTCCGCAATTGTCATTTATTATTATATATGCAATGCATATAATAGATTTGGCGTGTCATTTCGCAATTTCTTATATAACATATTACCATGCAATATGTAAGCATGTAAGTATTTAATGTAAAGTATTTTTTGAAAATGCAGATGATAAGAAGTGCTGATTGACAAATACTCATAAATAATGTATTTTTATAGCTGTTAAAAATGACGTAAGACGTTGAGATTTATCAGGCGATTTTACGAGAATAAAAGCATATTATATGCGAGTAAAAAAAGAACAGAATAAGGTAAGTTTGAATTCTTACACTGAATATAACATAACTGTATTCTTATATTTTATTAAAATTATGATATATTCGTTTGAAGCATGAATTTAATTGTTCGTTAACTTTCATTTAAGAAATGAAATATATTTTTTGTTACATCCAAATTCGAAAACAATGAGAGCTTACAGGTACCTCTTACAGACATTGTAAGAAAGTGACCTGTGAATCGGGCGAACAGTGAAGTCTACAGATAGGGGTCAACGACCAGAAGAGTCAATTTTACCCTTCGTTCAGACGTTAATCCCTTTTTGGTAAGGGAACTGTATCCAGATTATACGCAAACAAGCGCGATTCCACTAAAGCAAAATTAATTTATAAAAAGAAAAGATGGTATATAATAAGCACTTAATAAATTTATTTATTACTATATATAATAATATTTATAAAACTGCAGAATGTATACGAAAATTGTTCAATTATATATTTAATGTATCTATGTTTAATGCGCAATTAAATAAAAATATTTCAAAATATTTTTTTGCATGTATACTTATTTAGTAATACTGGTAAATCACTAATAATTATAAAAATTATAAATATATATATATGTGATAATTTATGAATAATTATAAATAATTTCTCTCTTCCAAGTTTCTTATTAAAGATAATAAAAATTAGTGTAATCTTTTTATTATCTTATGATTATTATCTTAATGATTCACAATTGGCGCTTAGATATAGCCTTATCTTTGAGCAATATTTAAATACTACTTGCGCACCTTGAATCGTTGAAACAGGTAATAACTATTATTATGATCTTTCCTGATTACAGAGTGAATCTCCTTGAGTGGTTTTCTATCTTCCTTAATTCATGAATATTATTAATCATAATTATATATAAATGTTTTACGTTTTATGCTATAGTTTTAGCATAGTAAAATAAAAATCTTGTAACACTTTATTTTAATTTTTCTTCTTGAGGGCTACACAATATATATACATATAAGATGCAACAGAAGACAAATTCAAGGCGTGCGATATGTTTTTGAACATGTAATCAAAAAATTACTACATATTAAATCTTATTTATATGAGAATTTTATATGTATATATGATATTTTCGATCTAGTTCCGGTCGTTCTTGAAAGAAGTTGTTCACTTTCGACAGA